GAGTAGAAGTAGAAGTAAGACTACTACTACTAGTACTAGTACTAGTACTGGTAATATAGCAGCTATGACCATTATTACTACACATACTGACAGATAGAGCTGATACTATTTGTCCCAATAGGGACAAAACCATAATAGTGAGAACCTAAAGGCTGAAAATTCACAATTTAACGATCTGTAGAAATAAAATAACTCAGCTAAATGTTACTTAAAAATTGAAATAACATATTGAAACCAGCACCAAAACTACTACCACCAATGTAGTAGTCGGTAGTAGTAGTAGTAGTGGTGTGCTTTCACTACTACCACTACCGTTTTCTACTAATTATTTACTATTATTAATATTACTGCATCAAATGTGGAGAAAGCTTTGTTGCATGAATACAGCAGTTTAGTGTATCTATTTTGATGTGTATATTACAAAATACATGCATTGTTGATATGTAGATGCACACCAAAGACAAAACCTGCCTTAAACGCTCTGCTTTTGTTCTGACAACTAGATAGGGTCAACTATTGCTCCATGTATCCTCTCTCTATTCTCTGCCCTCTCCACATGTCCATTTATTCCAGAACAATGCCGTCCTACTTCATGCATCCCCAAGGTGTCACCGTGGACACGATCCCCGGCTAATTTATCTCACCTCTGTTTCTTCTGCATCAAATGGAAGTCTAATGCTCCTTGCACTCATTTACATTTTCTCATTAGCGCTGCACTTTTATCATTCAAATTTGTGTGTTGTCTGGAAAAAACAGTCACGTGGAGTACAAGACGGTCTGCTTTTTGTAGCTCCCCGAGCAACAAATTGACGACAGGTTATGCTTTATGAGCCTGTGTGCGTATCTCATGCACCAACTGAACGATGCCTATTATTTGCCCTTGAAAAAGTGTGGAATCTGTGTATTGCTGTCTTCAATATCACATTTATAGTACTTCATACTTCAAATAAACACATTCATAACCTTCTTTTCAAACACAATTGTGTTTTTCAAAAAGCTGTTGATCCTGGTATGGAAAAGGCCTGGTCAGACACGGGCATTGTAAAGAAGGCATGTTGGACATTGTATCTGGTGCATTAACTGTTTTCTATTATGTAGCGCTGAAAAGCAGCATGTGGATATTTCACATAGTGGCAGTCCAGCACCAGCATATATAGTCTAGTCCTTGACCAGGAATTTAAACAGTTCACCACTTGACCATGGGTTTGCTTCACATTCACTGGACTGAATACACCTACTTATTGAGTGATGTATAGATACTCACTAAAGGCTCTAACAGTTGCAAATCAGTTTTGAGAAGAGTACCATTAATGCAGCAATAAACATGGTGGTGTTTATCACTTCCTAAGGTGAAAACACACTACAAATATAAGTAGTATACATAAATCATACACAACAGCAGTGGAGGAAAGACTACTGAAAATATGTACTTATGTGTATGTACTGAATAATGTGTACTAGAGTACACATGGAAAATACTATTCAACTGTTCACTTTCAATCACTCTTTTACACAAAAGCTGATGAAATAAACATTTCAAAGCTGAATCCTTCTTTTAAACTGTAATCTGAATAGTGGATATTTGCTGAGCTCTGGTCACAGGGGCACTACAGTGTCATGATGTGTGTATGGAGATATAGAAAGGATTGGGGCTTGTACTGTACCCACTAACTCATAATTTTAAATCTGGAAAATTAAAATGACATGGATAGAATTATACTAAATTCCAAGTATGAGAGGTAAAATAAATAAATAAATAAATACATAAATCAATTAATAAAACAAAAAAGAAAAAAACAGGCAGAACAGGCATAGTATTATGACCAGATTCATAATATCAGTGGTCACCACTAATGCACTGCTCTAATAGATTTTCTCTTTTGCCGGATCAAATCACACACAGGTTCATTTACACACTGTACTTAGTACTACAGTGACTCCAGTGGAGTTACTTGGAGCCACATCACATCATGTTCTTCCTTGCCTCAATTTGGATAGATCCTACAAACTGGATGATGGGAACACTCCCCACATGTGGAGATCCTACAGCCTACAGGTGCAATTCATCACTTTATCTGTCCGTAGGTTTATCACGTCACTTAGGACAATGGAAAATGAGAACCATTTTACGATACTGTGAGTTGGGGATTTTTTTATTATTATTATTTTTTACTGGAACTAGAAGCTGGGTTTGAGTTTCACAGTGGACAAGATGCACTGCTCTTGCATTGTGTATTTGTATATGAGTAATTTTGTGCATTCTTTATTTAAAACACAATGCATGACAAAAATCACAGAATGACCTGTTTTGGTTATTTATAGTCAAGGCCATTGTCTGTATGAATAATGTTGACAGTCCTTATGCTGAGGCGAAAACTTGTTCTAAATGGCAGTGCACCCAAAGCCCCACAGTCAGCAGTGACAGAACTAAACGGATGACTTCATAATAGCTCCTCAGATACAGAACGCTTGCATTGGGCGAAAGAGTGCAAGTCTGGAAGATACGAGGGGGGTAATATCCCTAGACATCTTTCTACAATAAATATATTTTTAATTTGTGCACTTTTATTAACCAGCAAAATCACTTCAAAATGAATAGCACATTATTAAGTCTTCTAGTGGCTCTTAGGGTTCTTTATCATGGATTTGTATCAGCATTGCAATTCATCTCAGCCATTCTTCACTCCAAATATGTTTTATATGAGCCTTCATTTATCATGGCCTGTCAGCTCTTAACAGTATCATTATTCAGTCTCCAGTTATAAATTGGAAATCATAAAACGCTTTTTCACATAATCTGATGCAATAACCGCTCCCTCTTTATTGGCTTGTGAAAGGAGAAAATAGTAAATACAATTGTATGTCAAGATCCGTGCAAGATATAGTGTTTTTTTTTTTAGTCCCATAGATATATACACCTCAATGGAATGAAATTAGGCTGGCGAAGGAGACAGGATCGTTGTCAGCATATTTGTTGGGACTTTCGGTGGAGGGGCGCGGGTTTGAGCATATGAAGGATGGTGGAAAATAGGGGAGGCTGACATGGCTGAACCCAATGAGGAATGCGGGCTGAGCTGTCACTGTTTTTTTAAGCAATGTCACATCAATCATGAGGCTTCTTTTCAACTTCTCTCCTCCAGCGTCGGTAATAGATATATCATGGTCTGAACTCAGCTAAATGTGTGCCCATTGGATCCGGAGATATTCTTTATTATTGAATGCAGCTATGGTGATTAATGATGACAATACAAGGTCAAGTTTTTTTTTTTACAACCAGTCAAACTATAATCATGGGGAAGGCTTTGTAAGCATGTTTTTTTTTTTTTTTTTTTTGCAAGTAGTGATGAACTGATAATGGTTAAAAAATAAAATAAAATTTATAAAGGGAAACTGAGGTTAGGGTATCGTTTCAAGGATATCAGCTCAGATACTCAGGAATTGTTGGTGTTTTAAGGAAAGAAATATGAACTTTCAGTCTCAAATCAAATGGATCAGTATCAAAACTGAGCTTGTGCACCTCTACTTACAAGGTAAACTTTTAATTACCAAATAAAATGTATTCTTTCCCTGCCAAAATAACTATCACTATAAATGGGCACTTGGCTAATGAGATAAGGGTAAATGAATAGACTTGGTATGAAATGTAAAATGATAAAAATATGCTTTATTCTCATTTGATAGAACATAAGCATATTTATTTTTGAGTGTTCATTCATTTGAGAAAAGAGACTTTGGGGTAACAACTGACTCACGTGTAAATACTGCCATCCTGTGGTCAGTTCCAGACTTGTATATTTCTAGGCAGTTCAGTTTAATACAAAATAAAACAAAAATTGGAACTATATTTAATGGTAATGTCGAGGAATGTAATAAAATTAAATAAAATATATAGCATGTCAAACATTAATATACATTTGCTCAAAATGAATAGGACTAATTGCATATTTCAGTGTTAAAGACCAGGAAAGTCTTTCTCAATCATTTGCTGCCATCTCCTGGACAAAATAATAAAAAGTACAACTTGTGATCTTTATAACAGCCTCATATTTTCATCGAGCCAGGAGACATAAATATATTTTCATTCAGAACATTTGTACAGTAAGGAAGAATACACAGTTTCAGTACTGATTTAAATCTGCTATTTGTGAACCAAAAGACACTGTACAACTTTCACTTTACATATTCATGTCTAACCTGTTTAGAACTACATTTATAAAAACTCTGATGAATACTGCAATAACAGCTTTAAGAAAATGTGCTTCAATGGCTGTAAAAACTAGAAGCATGAAGATTGTGTGTGGGTAAGTCCCTCATTTGGCCAGATGGTGGCAGATTTGCACCAAGTTAAACTTTGTGTGGGTTTATGAGAACCAACAGAAAGTTGTTTCATCAAACTATTCTGAGTAGTCATATTACTGTCAATACAAACCTGTTTCCAAATGTTTTGTGCTGGAGGTGTACCTTAATAGTTCTAAAGGTCCTAAATATTTGTATTAGGTCAAGTTCAAGCTCGGACTTGAGTCCTGGGGATATTTATTTATAGTTAAAAGCCCATATTTCTACCTGCATATCCAATAATGTTGATATGTAAACCAAAACAAATAAGGCGAGTTCACCCCAAGGTCTAAAAAGTTTGCCATGCTTTCTTTTGCCTGGGGTTTAAACCTAATACATAATTAAACTAGAAAATACTATTATTTGCTGTTTAATAATAATATATGTTCTAAAACAGTAATGATAATAAAGAACTTATAGAAGCAAATAAATGCCAGCCTTTCATTAAACTTCACACAGTTATGTTTGAAGAACTCTAAGAACTCCTGAGGACTCTCTGAACATCTTTGGGACCCCAAAGGTTTTGAATGAGTGCTGTTACTCATAATGTTAATGTATTACCATTATTATTGAGTTTCTATAAGCAGTGTCTTATGTAAGAACAGAACAGTCAGGACAAGCAGTGTGCAGATGACACAACCAAGCAGATACGTGTTGCCACTCACCCGTGTCCCACGGCTGCTTCCACGGCCAATTCTGCAAACGTGTCATTGCTTGGCACTGTCTTGTTGATGCTATCGCGGCTATCTGCATTTCACCTGAGAACTTGATATGACCCGGAGAGCTGTGCTGCAGAGAAAGAGGCACAAGAAGTGGCGGTTATGTCCATGTGCATTTGTCAAGAGCAGTATAAAAGTTTGTTTCAAAGCGTTCACTTCTCCTGCTCTACCCACAGAAGACAGGCGCATAGTAAAACTTTTATGCCACTGGGTGTTTAAAGGTGCCCTGCGAAGATAGACCCTGTATAACTGTATACCTCTCGTTTCTCCACTGCCTTTTAAAGTGTTCATAAAAGGGGAATTTGCAGGGGGAATATTTCTTTTTTCCAAAGTAAAACTATTAAAAGTGGCCCATCGCGTCTGTCCTCTGGGGCTTGCTTGCACTTGCCTGAGCTCCAGTTCAGAAATACAGCAGGCTAAGGTTCAGTATGACTCTGAAGACAAGTAGACAGTGACAAATCCATTTTTAGCTTTACCTCAAAGGTTTTCACTGCAGAATGCTAATAACGTTGCGCTTGGCTGCGTGGAGCACTCTCCAAAGGGGAGTATCACTTTCAGCTGGTTGTCTCATCGTTGAAAGGCCTCTCCACTGCAGGGGGACTGGTACTCACTATGACCTACAAGCACAAAGACATAAACACAGCTACACCAGGAGCCCCCAAAACTACTAATGCACATAAATTGTCAATATCATGTCTATAAATAACTCATTTCACATGTGGACCATTTATGTTTCTTATACCTTCTTAGAGCTGCATTTTTTTTTTTTTCTGTTATGGTCATGTATAGTGTGATCATTTTAAATCATGCCCTTTCGGATGCAACTCCTTTCATGTTTATGGGCTTAGGACCTATAAAAAATGTCAAAACATATACATAGTACACTTTACAGATAGGACAATGGCTGTTTTAGCATTGAGTCTTTCATAAAATATAATCTGTAACCCAGTCATGGATTTAAAATTTCTTACTAAAAGGACCAGAATGTATTGTAATTTGATTTTGAACACAATTCATCCTGTCAGTATTTTTTTATCTGCCATTTTCTCCTGAGAGGTCATACTTCACTGTGATTGGTCATTTCACTTACTGTGCACTTACTGTGGATCACAATGTGACCATTTCATCAAAAAGTCTATTGTCATAGTAAGTGACATTTAGATTTTCAGAGGGAGTATGGACTAAAACAAAATCAATGCAATTCTGTTCATTCTCATGGTGAATTAGTACATTGCTCTAAGCTTAGGAAATCTTGAATGAGGAGCATGTAGCCAAGATTAGCCTGCTCCAGGAAGTACACACTGGTCCTTCTATTTGATGTTAATTGTCTATCTGTAGATGTGTGTGTAGACATGTGTGTTGCCTGTGCTGAGGGAAAGCCTCCAGCCTGGAGACTCATCTCTGCTGATGTTTTGGAGATGTGGTGGCAGGTTGTGGTCTGCAGCATATGGGCTCACTTTAAAACCATCCCAGAGCCTCTCCTCTCTCTGAGATAATTGTAGCATGAATTAGAATAGGGGGCTTTGATTTATCAACACATTTGTTAACAACAACTTTCCAGAACTCAGACTTTCCATTGATAAATCTGCTATGATAACAGCAACCTAGAAATACAGCCCAAGTGCAACCATTTGAAACTGTCTTCATTCATAGTGATGAGTTCATCAAAGTAAAGAGGCGTCACAGAAAGCTAATGTACTCTATACCAGATAAAAACATGTCCATTGACATTTTCAAATGCTGTCTTCTAGATGCATTTTGGGGGGTTGGGTCATAATTAGCCATTATTGAGGTATACACGGTGCAAATACGGTTACATCAACACTGACACTGAGCAGCTGTGGTTTGTCCATTTACATTTTCCTACAGCACACATCTGGCCCTGATCACAAACACATTGGTTCTTATAGCAGCCTTATATTATTGCAGTTCATAATTGTGTGTCTTTGCAAACACAAAAGCAGGTTAGAGAAACTTTCAGCCACATCTCTTCTCTAGCATTATAAAAGAGGATCAACCCTGGAGTCAAAACACAACACTGTAGTGACAATAAAAAGATCAAAGATGCAAATTCAGCGTGCCTCCGTTCCTCCTCTGTTATAATAGTGTCTGATGAGCACCTGTTTTGGAGACTACGCCTTGCAGATCCAGTCAAGCGCTCTCCTTCACGTTTCTGTAATTAACACATAACATCCTGCCGGCCGCTTAGGTAGAAATGAGTTAGAGAATGATACATACAGAGTTTAAAGACAGATTGTAAAGACACAACTCTTTACATTTCACAACAAGAACACAGAAAAAGATGTCACAAACCAAATGGCCCTATACTTATAACCTAAAATGAACTCAAGCTATTGCTGTGCATTATTTTTGTATAACAGCACAGGTAGTCATCACAGCAATGGGTAAACATGCACCACTATTAGAAGGGACTAGTTTAAACTAGAACAGAAATAACTCATGATTTGAACATCCACAGACAGATAAAAGTTTGTCACAGTTAAAAGTGAACTATTTTCAGTCAGTAGGACCATGATGTAAATGGATTAAAAAACTTGGAGCAGTGCGTTCCACAGTTTTAATGCATTTTGCTGTGCGTCTGGGTGTTCTAGACTCCAAGCCAGTGCATTAAAACAGTGTAACACACTACTCCTCGTTGTTTAATTCTTGTACTTCTTCATCTGTGTCTGAGCGTCTTTATTAATGGTGCAATACTGAGAGGCAGTAAATGGCTATTCATTAAGATGACATGTGTCCAGGTTATCAGTGCATCAGTGCTCACTGTATGGGCTTTGTTAGCACATATTTGAGCCTAAGAAGTGCCCTTATACAGCTAAGGGAAAACAGGAGTTGTGAGGGGCTTTTTCTTGGCCAGCATGTCCAGGCTTGGTTACAGGCCTGTCTGTCCCTACTCAGCGCAAACATGTCAGACATTTCATCACCAGCAGCAGTGCTGCCCGGCTTCCCATTCCACTACCGAGGAGAGCAGCGCCACACGCTGTGAGCCCCAATTGTGCTCAACACTGTTAATTTGTTGATGCTACATAATAAACCTTCAAAAAGCTGTGTGTCGATACTTTCCAAATATGGAAACGTGATGAAATACATAAGGGATTCTGAAACTGTTCACAAGTGCAAGATACAGAGGCATGTTTGAAATGCCAACGGTTTCGTACCCGCAAGTGACCAAAAAATAATGATGTGGGATCTGTTTCTGACAGTGACCCAGTCAGGCTTTACTGCTCTCTTAACCAGCAAAGTGGAGTTGCTTTCAGCTTTCCACCTCTCAAAACCCGCCTTGACAATTTACAAATAAGACACATCTATTTGATTAATACACACATATGGGACAAACAGGTCTGCATTATACCAAGGCTGGACCAAGGCTCAACACCTTTCAACAAACCTCCGCCATGACAGACGACCACTAGCGGGAATACATATGTATTTCAGGAAGCCGGCAACGCTCTCTTGTGAGAGAAGTGAAAGCCTGAGTCGAGAACACCCAAAACAAACCCACTCTGCAGCCCAACTGGCATCAGCTCCACTTTTTCAATAAGGGAATGTATTTATGAGCATCTGGCCGTGGTTCAGTGAGGTCAATGCACTAATAGAGTGGAAGGATACACCAGTCGGCCGAGATTCACTTGATTCATATTTAATATATCAAATACTAAATGTAAAAGTGTCCATTTGTCTTTGTACTGTAAAATAACTATTTTGCCTCATGTGATCAGATGTAATGATGTAATAATTGAAAATTTCACCCATAGTCTTGTCACAAGCACATTTAGAGCACATGCCCTGGTTTTTGTTGCAACACCTCATCACATGTACCATCTCCACATTGTGACTTTCATATTCAGTCTGTCTTCGGGGGGTTCTTTGTTGGGACAGTGGAATCGTAACACTGACTGATATCAGGTTTGGCTCATGACAGAAGACACACGGTTCTCATAAGAGCATTAATCTTAAAAGGAGCAACTGTCAGGAAACATACACTGCCCCTATTCTGATATTAAAAAGAGCCTGCCGGGGCCTTGATTCCTGCTTTGGCGAAAAACAATCTCACCCTGATGCCAATAGGAGACCTTGAATGTCCTGTTCCAGATTGTTCCATTACATTCATGGCATTTTGAAGTGAGAATAGAATCACAACACACAAGCAGTCTAAAATGGATGACACGTTTAGTCTATTGGGAAGTAGTGAAGAAGGCTAGCTAATGAATGTATAAATTAAATAATATTGTTAAGCTTAAGACAAGCTCAATATCATTTTCCATATGTAAACCATTCACTGCAATATTCTGGGCAGATGTCCAACTAGGTTACTATGATTCAGCACCAGCCGTGGATAGAGACCTGAAGACTGTGCGCCGAAGGTAATTAAGGTTTCTCTTAATTGACAACAGATCCAGCCCTGAGAAATTCTGCTGCCAAACAACAAGGAACTATGAGCTATCTGAGCACCAACTTAGAGAATGACAGCAGAGCAAGAAAAACAAATTGTACATTTTGTTTCACAAACTGTTTCAAAATTAGTTCACTGGAGATTTTGTTTTTAAGAATCTGTATTAATCAGAATCAGGAATGAGCACAAGAAAATGAAAACGTATAAACAATTTGGATGCTTTCAAACTATTCAATACTTGTATGTTTATATTTGCAGTTTGTAATTGAAATTGTTTTATAATAAGTGCAAAAAACATGCTCTAACTAATCATCATTAACAGAGAAATTTGATTTTTTTATGTAAATAGATTATTTCTATGATATTTATTAAGATGAGTGTTGTATAAGGAAGTGAAATATGTGTAATAAGACAAAGTAAGACAAAATAATCCTTAAACCAAGAATGCAAATCGTGTCAACCAGCTCAAGCATAAAGACATTGCTACTAATATTGGAATATTGACATTATTTACATTATTTAGTAAAACTGTGTTTAGAAAAACGCAATGAACGATCAGGAAGTACAGTGCACCAGTGACACTTTAGCATGTTAGTGGTGGAAGAAGTAGCGTGTTACTAAAGTAAATGAAAGTATCAAGAGGCAAAAGGTTATAGTTACAGGTTATATTTTCACAAAGATTTTGAGAACTGTATGATATTGACAAAAATGTAATGATGTTGACAAAAATAATGCTGATTTTTGTTCAATACAAATACATTTTTTTAAAAATCAAGAGACTTTTATGTTTTTGTTGAATTCAAAACCTTTAGTCAGGATGTTATCATGAATCTGAAGAGGACAGAAAAGAAAGATTTTACAGAATGCACAACAAAGCTGCCAATGCAATGCGTTTGCAGAGGGACAACTCAAAGAGTGGGCACCAGTGAACAATGACGTGTTAATATTGCAGTAGTTGGTCACAGACTTTTAAGGACTACATCCTTTGATCTGATCTTTTCAACATAATGTATTATCTCCCTAACATGTAAGAATTAACAGTAAACGCCGAGAACATGAAGACACGCGGGACATGTTTTTAGTGTAGGTACCGAGCAATTACTGCGCCTGGTAAAAGCTGGCATGTCTCACATGGCACCGCTGCACGCCCTCATTAGGCGTGTTCTGCTGCTCCGAGTGGGTCTATGGCTATAAAAGAAGTGAGCTCGCTGCTTTTCCCCTCACCAGAGAGCAGCAATAGCACAAAGAACCTCACATCACCACAGCATGATCAGACAAGAGGTGGACAGTTTCGTTCATTCACCAAGAGGGGTACGCCTACATTAGGGGCTTAGTTTGACTACTAGGTTGGTTTTCACCTTTTCATTAAAGGGTTACTGTGTTGATATTAGACTGTACGATGGAGCAAAACAGTCAAAAGGTTTTGACTGTGAAAGGCAGAAACAAAAATTCTGTAAAAGTCTCAGCAGTGGAAAACTGTGACACAGTGAGCATTAAACTAGCCACACAGATCTGGCCTGGCCAAACGCACGCAACCTGGACTCGCTCTAATAATTCCCATACAGAGCTCGTGGAACAACGTCTAAATCAAAACCGTAGGCACAAAGCCTTGTCAATAAAACTCTGCCATCAAATCTGGCACAGAGACCAGAAGTAAACCATTTCCTCACACAGCAATCTACGCATGGCGCTTTTGTTAGAGGCACAGGAAAATCTAGGTGCAGACGTTTTATTGGTGGGTATTGATTGATAAATGCAACAACAGAAATGTATATTACAAGACCTCCAAAAAAATGAAGTAAAACAGATAGTCTGACGAATAGCACCAGAACCCGGACACAACAGATGCACATTCGTCTTGTCACTTAAAAAACAAAGGCCTTGGAGCCCATTGCTGCAGGACGCTTTGATGCCACTTAAAGCTTAGCCCAATATTTACTCACGGCCTGTGCACCTTGCGGGAGTCAGGTGTCGCGCGGATCACTTCACGCGTTTGGGATCTAAGGCAATGCGGACGAGAATTTAAACCTTCCAGTCGTCAGCAAACACAAAAGACAAAACCAGCGCAAATGATAGAAAACGTGAAAGCCAAGATGGCCAACGTTTTAAACACGTGCGTAAATACGCGCACGCGTTATATAAACCTCTGGGTTATGACTGGATCACTCTGTCCAGTCAAACTTATATATTAGATTAAATCATATAGGCTATGGAGCACATATTAAAGTGTTTAGTTAAGAAAAAAAAAAGGTTTAAAAAATCATAATAATCAGAGGGACGAATTGAATTTGAATAGGGTTAATGAAATGCAGTTGTTCGGTGAAGGACAGTATGAAGTGTTGATGACAGTAGGCCTGCTATTTACTATTTATGTGGGCGTGCGTCTGCCTTTGGAGAAGACCAGTTCCTCACTGTTATTGTTTTGTCACATATAACGAAACTAAACTTGACTCAAGGTCTCACCAAGGCCTGTCCTGCTGTCCTGTTACCAAGGCACTGTTAATGAGCAAATCATTATGTGTGTGTATATATATATATATATATATATATATATATATATATATATATATATATATATATATATATATATATATATATATATACATACACACACACACACACACACACACATATATATATATATATATATATATATATATATATATATATATATATATATATATATATATATATATATATATATATATATATATATATCTGTGTTGTAGACATTAATAAACGTATAAATAATAAATCATAAAACTGTGCAAAAGTATGCAGTTCCTAGCTTGTCCAGATGAGGGAAGTCCAGCTAAAATGCCAAAAATTCACAAATAATCTACTTCAGTGACAGGACTGTTCCACTATGGGGTTAAGGAAAATCACTTCATATCACTAATTATTTTAAATCAATAATAACGATGATAATAATAATAATAATAATAATAATAATAATAATAATAATAATAATAATAATAATGCCTACATATATAAAATTCATAAATTAATGACATTCTTTATGAATCTTTAATGTGACCTTTGACTTTTTATGACACTGACATATTCCATGTGTCCCGCTGCAGATCTGGCTCTATGTGGCACCGAGGAGACAGATGAAGGGAGAGGCAAGAGAGAGGCAGGGGGCGTCTGTAAGGACACTGCACCTTGTTACCTCTGGGTCGATTGTTAACTTTTACAAGTGACGTTTTGTGGGCATATAAAAGATGCCTTCTAAACTGGCACAGGAAACATTGGAAAGCATGCTGCGATAATGCGGCTCTGTGGAATCCACTTGATACGCCTTACGTCTGGGAGCGCAGTTATCAACATCCCTATCGATTACACGAGCCCTTTTCCCGTTTTGATGCTTCAGTCCTGCCTTATCATAAAATGTGTCTAGGTACACGCAAGTTTTTAGTTCCATTCACACATTTACTTATGCATGCACGTGTATTTACTTGTGCACTTGAATATGGCCAATGTGGGTGCCTTGAATATGAGCACACTTAAAAAACAAAACAAAAACAAAAAAACTCTATTATTTATTGGTTTAGGGATTCAGTTTAAAGGCTAATACTAATAATCCATGGGTGTTGGTTGCATAACTAATCTAATTCTATCTAATTCAAGAGCCATGTCCAGTGTAAATAAGAAATTCCCAAACTGTAATATTTTTCTGTAGAAACGCTGAACACTCCTTTGACTGACATGCAGTTAGTTTTATTTTGTTCAATTTACTTTCACTTTTTAAAAAATTGCAATAGTCTAATGGTCAAGTCCTTACCAGGAGGATGCATGATGGATGGAACGCTTCCCCTTCTGTCACTTCCCCTATGCAAAATATTAGAGGAGGCTGTGCGCCTCAAACCGGATGGGGATCGCATTGGTTCCTTGTGTTTCCACTTCTCGAAGACCAATCAGATTCAAGCAGGGCTCGGCGTATAATAGTGAAGATTGACGTGGATAGAGGACGCGTCAAATTAATTCCACCAAACTCCGGACTCCCCAGGATCACTTCTATTTGCGTTTATCGAACGAGGATCAGTTGGTGCCACTTTGCCTTCTAGTCACTCGCGTCCAGGAGAGAGGGGGCGGCATAGCGCGAGGAGACTCCAGTCTGGCTTTCTTCTCGTGGTTCCCCGTTCTTTCCTTCGCTTGGTTTTCTCGTCTCTTCCTTGGACGCACTCAGCCTTTTGACGGGACAGTACGCAGCCGAAAACTTAAATGCAAATGGGTGAGTGAGTATGTGCATGTCCATGGTTCAGTGGGGTGCTTATGGATGCGTGTCCGGCTCACGGGCTGCATGCGTAACGACACAAATAATAAGATGCTTGATAAACCAAGTGAAACACTTGTCAACTGATTTCAACGTAATTGCAGTTATACCAGCCTTTATTCTAGTTTTATTGTATTGTTAATAAATGTATGTTTGCGTCACAGTTGTGTTATTAAGATCCCATTTTGTAAGTTTCGTGTAAGCAATGAGGACATTTGTCTTTATGGGGCTTTGGAGTTCCTGTAATTTCAGACTATTACAGACTGTTACACACCATCAGTAGGCAGCAGCAATGCCACTTCATCAACAAATAAGTGTCTTAAACCTGTGTTTCTGTGACAGAGCAAACCTATGGAGAGGTGAATCAACTGGGAGGCGTATTCGTCAATGGCCGTCCTCTGCCCAATGCCATTCGGCTACGGATTGTGGAGCTGGCCCAGCTCGGGATTCGGCCCTGTGACATCAGTCGGCAGCTGCGAGTGTCTCACGGCTGTGTGAGCAAGATACTAGCGAGGTATAACGAAACGGGATCCATCTTACCTGGCGCCATTGGCGGGAGCAAACCTCGAGTCACAACACCCAATGTGGTAAAAAACATCAGGGAATACAAACAGAACGACCCTGGGATTTTTGCTTGGGAGATCCGAGACAGACTTTTAGCTGATGGAGTTTGTGACAAATACAATGTCCCGTCAGTGAGTTCCATCAGCAGGATTTTACGCAATAAAATTGGAAATCTGTCCCAGACGAACCAGTATGAAAGTGGCAAACAGGCGCCAGCCCAGGCCAGCCTCTCCTACAACCACATCTACCCGTATTCATATCCGAACGCCATGTCGCCCACCGGCACAAAGATGACAAGTCCTACAGGAGTGCCCGTTACGGCCGGACACGTGAGCATATCCAGGGCCTGGCCCTCGGCTCACACCGTCAGCAATATCCTCGGGATTCGCGCTTTCATGGACCCAGCAGGTAAATGACAGGCCTGAGTCTTTACTCAGCCACATTAAGCGTCCCAGGCTAAATGAGCCACAACACTGCATGCAACTGTTTATCCTGGGCTTATTCGGCCTGATGAAATCCTCTGTGGCGCTGTAACCTGCTCCATAACTGACAGGACAAGGTGTCCTTACGTGCACAGGCCTCGCTACATCGTTCTGCTAAAAGTACTGTAAGGCTACATTCAATAGGCCTTTTCACGGAGTCGTGCATTTGCAAACACGCTGCTCACAAGATAGATCCTCTTATAATCCTATAGAAGTCACCGTAGCCTATATTTCTCTTCTACATTTTAGCACTAAACGTACTTTACTGTTCAGAAGCACAGAGCGTCTGCACATTGTGCCATTAAGAGTTTAATTTTCTGTTGACATTATAGTGTATAAAATGTGCCTAAAATAGAAGACACGCAATTGCGCATTATTCCACACGTACACTTTTGGTCAGTTTGGCCACGTATTATAGGCTGCTTTTCATATTTGAATAGTAATTACATAAACACAGTTTTTATCTCCTAAAGCAGTCATTTCACCTTTGATTATTTTTTGGAGAATGCAGATACATTACTTAATACAATGCTCTAATTTACCAAGGTTACATGTGGTTATGCACAATTTAATACAAATGTTTAATGTTTAAATGACATCTGGAAACCTTGCTTTACTGTTTTTCACAATTGATGAAAAGCAATAATAAAATGTACCCAACCAATGTAATTATAATTCGTCATCATTTGACTCATACGCGCGCTTGACATTATTTTTTTTTTTTTTCTGTGTTTTAGCCATTGCTGGGACAGACGGATATGCGCCAAAAATGGAGGACTGGAGCAGCGTAAACAGAGCAGCTTTTCCTTCTGCGCACGGAGTCAATGGTATCGACAAATCCACCCTCGAGGGTGATATTAAATATCCACAGGTACCTATCTTCTTACAGATATTGCAATATGAAAAATTGCTTTAAATTCTAGTATTTGCCTCGCCATTTTGGCTCATTTACAACGTTTAGTCAAAACCTTCCCGAGAACGCGGTCAGAGCATTTAATAAGTTATGTCTCTCATTACAAAGGCTTGTGGATAGCGAGTTGTAAAACGTTTCCATAAGAAAGCTCTGAATACAGCAAGCACTCAAGCCGTTAACAAATACTCCATTTCTCTAAAATCCTGCATAATTATTTGGGTTGATATAAAACCTCTGTGTTTGTTCAACTACGTTTTCTATAAAATTGTTTATATAAATTCTAGCTTCTGTATATCAGTTCATTCTGCCTTTCTTGCCCATTTTTAAACATTATTATTTATTGATATTATTACAAAACAATAAAATGTTTAAACAAGTATCCTTTTGGCGCAGCCTTCATCCACTCTTTCCAGTTACGTGTCTGCTTGCGCCTATTCACCGACCAATCAGTACGGCGTGTACAGTGGACCTGCGGGAGGATACGTTGCCCCGGGACACCATCACTGGCAGCCCCAAAGTCCAGCTCTGTCTCATGCGGGGGGTGGCATGGGTATGCACGCGGGGGACATTCATGCATCCATGGCCTTCAAACATCAGGCGCGTGAAGGTACAGTAAGGACGAACACGCTCACAATACTAACGCACACAACCTGAAGAATGCTAAAAAATTATAACAGCTAATACTTGTTTTGTTTGTTGCTTAATTTTGGAGCCTCTTTTGGCTTACATGACGATATTACGGTGGTGTTGTTCTTTATGCTCTAGATCATTTGTAAAAGCCTCATGTTTGTTCCTTGTTGTGCAGGAGACCGAAAGCCCCCCAGTCCTCTCACCAAACAGCAGCACGAGGACCTGAACGTACACGGACTCAGTCTCACATCATCCTCCTGAGCTGGACTGTACCTTTCCCCAGCTGACACATTTCAGCCCGCACCACAGTAAGTCTCGGCTCTTGGTTTGCTGTTCTGATTCCCACGAGCCCGTTCATGTGGACAATTGACACACTATGGCCATTTGAATGTAAAACGCACACATGTCCCAGTGTTCCTCTTGGTTGCCAATCACGGACAGAACATATCATGGACAGTACATACCGTGTGTTATTCGTGCTCTTTTAATTTCTGTAAATGTCGGCCATTATCTCAATCCAACTCTCAGCGATGTGAAAATCTAAATGTAAAAAAGATATTTGCTAAAGTTTTAGTTATATATTTTTTATAATTCCATTGTAAATATAAATAAAGTGTTTTGTGAAATTGTAAATTGTGCCGTTTATTTTATTTAAGTAAAACATTAGGCTATTAAATGTATGAACAATTCAAGACAATAATGGGCTGATATATAAAATATTTTTTATTTTATTATTATTTTTAATTTAATAATAGACTATATAATATAGTCTATTATTAAATTGTAATAACTGTAGTGATAAGCGTGTGTATATATAGCGTTTATATTAATGCACAGGGCCTTGAAATGAAGGCCTATGGTGCATGCGCGCCGTGCTTTCGTTCAGGTGGAAAAGCCTAACCGGGCCCCTGTCTTATCTAGCACGGGCTAATACGACTTGCCTTAATTGAATATGCAATTTTTTTATTTTTTGCAGTGAAAACAGGATAGTATATGTACATAGCATTTATATCTAGTTGTATGATTTATTTCCGTGACTCGTTTGATATGGCACCGCGCACCAAAGCTGCACTGACGCTGTTTTCACTGCTTCTATGTTGAGCTCATTTTATGATAAGCCTCATTTGTGGTCGTCTCCACACTATGTTTGCCGGACTTATATTTAGTTTGTATACCTGACATATATCACTTTTAAAGACCGTTTAAGACGTGGTCATCTATTCCTCCTACGCACAGTGGTTCACTGCAAAATCCAATCCACTACTTTTTTTGAGGAAGCAGTCATCCTTTATTACATAAATACATATATATATATTTGTTCCACAATGTTAACAGTCAAAATAAAAAAATAAGAAAAATTAATAATTGGAGGTCTTTGGCCATTTTAGAGCTTGAGCAGTATTTATATATTTTTAGCAAAATAAAGAAATAGGTATAGGCAGGATTTAAAACTAAAGCAGCTGTGCTGTGTGCTTATAGAAAGATATTGAATGAAATGTTAAATCATTTTCTAGATCTGTCTAATAGAAGTGATTACAAGGCTACATGTGAAACAGGTTGTAACTATATTGTTCTACTATTTATATTCCAGATTCAAAATAGTGAGCTGTACTCATTCTGTGTTTGTGGAGCACTGCCCCATAAAGCCCATGCACTGTAGTGACTGGGTTCATCCAAACATTAAGATGGCCTCTGTGTGTGCACACAGCTCTTGTTTTGCCGGATACCACTCGGGGTTCAGAAAACACTGCTTCATGGTGGCGGGGTGACTTCCTGTGGGACCTGGAGTCATCAATCAGGACAGCAGTGTGACCCCCCAATGCGTGTGTTGCACAGCCTGTGTGTGTGCTGTGTGTGTGCAAACCCGCAGGTGTCTTTGACCTACATGAGTGCCCCGATCACAGACAAAAGCCTCCAAATTAGAATGGATAGTTCTTTCTCTTTGAAACATATCATTTATTATTTATTAAGTAGTGATTGGTTGTTGCAGTAAAGCATGCATGGCTCCTTTGGTCGCTCTGTGGACATCTGCACCTTGTCTGCCATGTGTTAGAGGGGAAAGTACCTCATGCTGGTGAGTCGTGAGTCAGAGATCATCTGAGGACAGGTGACAGAGAGGCACAGTAAAAGAATAAACACAAATGTGTGAATAAGTCTAAAATAGCTGCAATTTGACAGACTGGTGCTGAGGAGAGATGCCAGGATGAGCTGTTCACTAAAATATGAGAATATATACAATATCATGGAAACTTATCCAGACCTTTTGTAATACGTGCTTGTCAAATACCTTAACAAGATAGATGTATACGTATACACAGAAAATATTTGGGTAAAATGTGGGTAAAATGTGAGATTGCATACAAGAGAAATTTTATAAGTCTAGTATGTTTGTCTAATAAAAGTTGTATTTGTGTATTCACCACCAACCATGGTGCCTCTAGGAGTCATGCCTATAGTGCAATTGCTATTGGATTGTTTTTTTCCACCAACTGACCACAGGATTTTGGAGTAGGCCAAGTTACAGCTCTTAAAGTCTCAAGGATGATAAATGTCTCCCTCCCATGTTCGGCTGCTCTGCAGCTCACCACATCAACCAGGCTCCTGAAAGCAAAGGGACACTCATAATGATGGCATTTGGCTTCTCCATGGAGATGAAAACGTATCATTTCACTTTTGCCATGGTTGTTTTTGGTTCCATAGAACACTGCCTGCAGTCAGTGGTGATTTGTATCTTTTACAATTATATCAATATATGAAAGCATAAACACTGAGCAAAATACAAATCAAAATGAACAAAAATGAGTGTCCATTGAAATACTCATTTAAAAAAAAGAACAAATAGAGCCAGCAGTGTGTTTGGGTGGAAAAGAACTTCTTGAAAAATGAGCTATTGGAGCAGATCAGAGACATGGGGCATCCTCTCTAATTTGTGCAGTCTATAGAGTGAATGTTCTGCCTGACTGCCCATCTGTGACTTATTTACAGTGAGCTGCACTTTGCCACACACGCAGGACGCCATCTGAGGAACGCTGAGCTGTGCTGGCTTTAAGGGTTGCCTTCATGTTAATTTTCTGGCTCAAATTCTTATTAGGTGATAATAAGATGATGACTCTGCTCCCCAGAAATGTGAGTGGTACACCACCACACTGTCTGCTTTAGTTTGCAGTAGCATGGTTTTGTTGGAAGTCATCAAAGGATAAACATGTTCAAAATTATTGTTCAATATATAGCTTTTCCATAAGATTCTCCAATATTGCACTTTTCCAAAAACATATTTTTTCTGTATTATTACTTGGCATTTGGTCATCATAAATAATGAAAATATGAATATCCAATATTGCAGACATTAAATTCAGATTATTGTACAGTACAGTAAGTGTACTTATGTTACATTATTGTCCTTGCAACTTTGTCAATATACAATAAGAGACGAATGCACACATAACACAATGAACCTTTACCATAGAAGAAAAAAAAAACAACAATACAATGCCTGCCTGCACAGCTGAAGCACGTCAGACCAGTTGAACAGTGCGTCCGACTGCGCTGGGGCACTGTGCACAGATAAAGCAACAAAAGCACCAAACACAACACAGCCCTGTCATTAATCAGGCTCTGACCAGGCCTGTGTGCCACTCCCAGGCGCCAGGCTCTGCTACCTGCCCCTATCACCTGTCAGAATCTAAAGATGATTTTGGCTCTAAACCAAGACAGCTCCATGTCTAAATCAACAGAAGCTTACATGACCTAGTGACTTCAGACACATCCCGGACTTTATAAAATTGTTTAATGGAGGTGTGGAAATGTTGCAAGATATTTGGGAGTTGCAGGAAAGGTAAACTCATTAATGCAACTCACTGTTACAGAAATTAGATACATGTGTTACTCAGAATATAAAATTAAACATAAAGAACAAATGATTAGTATTTGTCGTTGTAGCCTGCTATTGTGAGTGAAATGGTTTATGGGGATCATTGAGGGATTTAAACTGGAAGTCTGCCAGAGCTTTGCCGGATGATGTATGTTTAAAATTATTCAGCTTTGTTCAATACACACATTTTACCTTTTCATATTTTTGCCTATAAAACTATTTGAGAGATTTTGTAATTAAAAGTAAGATATTCAAACTGACAGACACACACAATGATCAAAGGTGAAGTATCATTTATGAGCTATGGTCACACAGTACATGAAGGTTACATAGAAGCATACTAGAATACCCTGGTGCTTAGACATGCCACACACATCTCCACAATGGCACACTGCTGCACTGACCCAAAGGGAGACTGTTAATCTGGCATGGAAAAAACACTGCTTCAGACTGAATGAGTGGCCCAGTACAGCTACTCCACAGGGACCTCATAGTGCCACAGGTCAATGACAGAGCATGTGCCTACCTAAATGAACAAATACCAGATTTAATTGTACATGTTAATAGATTTTTATTTTTTTTTTTACATTGGTGCATGCATCAATATTTATAAAGAAATATGAATATGAGCTGAATGTCCTAATTAACATTTTATAGTCAAAATAATTATTGGTCAACTAAATGAGGTTAAGTATACATAAATCACATTTAGAATTTTACAAACATTCTTAATATTGTAGGAATTTACAGTTAAATTAACATATTATGTATTTGTATTATTTAATTATTTATTTATTCATCGCATACACACGCACATACATACATAAAAGTTAAATCTTACACTATATTTCTTGTTATTTATTAGAAAACAATAGAGGTATAGCCCAAAACATTTTGGTAACATTTTATTTTAGGGTGCACTTATTAACATCTAACTACCTGCTAATTAGTACAGTTGTAAATAGTTAATTTATCATTAATTTGTATTTATTTAACCCTCATTAATGTCTAATTCCCCATAAGCTTATTCTGCTTATTAATATGACACTAGGTCATTTTTGTATATGAATTATGATTCTAATAAGCTTTTGGTAAGAACCGTGTTGTTAAGGACTCGTAGTACAAGAAATTTAGTTTTTACTTGTTTGTTTATTGCAAAAGCTTATTAGAATCATAATTCTTGGACAAAAATGACCTACTATCATATTAATAATCAGTAATAAGGAGTGTATTAATAGGAAAGTGTTTGTAAATGTCTCACGAATGACAGAATAAGGTTATGGGAATTAATAAGGGCTGAATAAATACTAATTTATGACAAATTAACCATTTACAACTGTGCTAATTAGTGGGTAGTTAGATGTTAATAAGTACACCCTAAAATAAAGTGCTACCAACATTTTTGAATGATTTGTCGTTAAAATATCTGTAAAAATCTATTATATATTATACCATATGAAAGCTTTTAAAAATGCATGCCACATATATGTTGAATTGTTAAAAAGCATTTTGCGTAACAACTCCTACTCTTGGACCAATTCAGTTTGCACAGATAGATTATTATCAGAGTCAGATTCATTTTATTTTATTTTATTTTTAAAGAAGAAGAAAAAGAGGAGCTCTTGTATGTCCACATGGAGCCCTGCTCTTTGA